AATTCTGTTAAATGGTGGTTGTAAAATTCAAATACGGTAACAAATCAAAATCTTTTTTTTTTTTTTGAGAAACAACAAATCAAAATCTTATATCAAGCAAAATGTTTTCATTAAAGAAATACCATAAGATTAAATTTATTTTCGGAAGCAAAATCTCAAATCATGATGGATAAGTCAGCATCACTGGTCCGATCCAGATCTATTGAGAAACGTGTAGCTCTGCATCTCCATATCACGTTGAAAATGAAAACAAACCAAAATGATAATCAAGTTGCTTAACACCCAAAAAAAGAAGGACCAATAAACGAAGCGAGTCACATCGAACTTAATAAAAGAAAATCTGATTAACATAAAATGTGCACCTGCCAAATACTAACATTGTCAATTGATTAAATTTTGGACCGTGACTTGGCCATGTTTGGACGGTCCAAGGCTAAGCTCGCACGCAATAATGTCAACATACTCGACCCATTGATACACCAACAAGTGTCCACCAAGAAAGCTACACATAACATAAAATTGCTGATATTTTCTGTTGCTCCCCCAAACTTACAATGGAAAGAAATTTGGGTTAAAAATATGTATAAATTCAAGAAAAATATCAAATGATGACTCTTACAAGATTTTTTTTTTCTTGTAATTAAATGAAAACTTCAAGGAAAAAAAGGGCATGTGAACCAATGAATGTTTGAAGCAAAGTGACAAATGGAGAAGAACCCGAAAAGCAATGTAAATTTTGACTCTTGAGTTTTTCCATGTTGAACAGTGTCCGTTCTCCAAGACAAAGCTAAAAAAGGGTGAAAAAATAGTATACCACAATTTGAAATAGTAACGTATATTGAAACTCATTTATTCTCATTCTGCCCAAGAAAAAAAAAACTTTATTCTCCCTTTTGGACATCTCAAGCACAAACCAATTCTCAACTAGAAAATTTACATATACAACATTTAGTTTCACTGCGAAAGCGACATTTTTTTTTTCATTTTGGAGATATATAAAGAAGAGTTGCCGTGTAAATGGTGAGATATTTTCCCAACCACAAATCTCGCACCTGATTCCACTTGATTGATCTCGTTTTTTCTTTATTTTCTTTCTCTAGTTACTCTCCACTTTCTATATCCGAATTCTTCATTTATAATAGTGAAAGATTTTGACGAAATTTTTGGAAATTTTCCATGGAGAAAAAAAAAAAAAGACAACATTTTCGTTTACTATTTTAACCACAAAACGCGTTGAAATTAACGAAATGATATTCCATAGAAAATTTGTTACGACCTTCGATTTCTCCAATAAAGGTTCTTTTGGTGGTTTGAAGCAGTTTATGTACGGAAACACTTTCACAGTCCTCTATGCTTTCTGGGTTTCTCTCTGTAATC